GGGAGCACCGCCCCTGCTGGACAGAGCCCGCGTCGGCGTAGGAGAAGTGTCTGCCCCGGCCAGGAACCAGGACTGACGAGGCGGGAGATGGCTCGGGGGCGGGCCTGGCCAGGCTCCCGAAGGTGGAGACGTTGGGCTCGCAACTCTTCTCACCTAAGGCTCCTCGTGCGCGATTTTGTGCCAGGCACGGTGCTGGGTGCTTTGCATCTACTATTCATTCATTCCTTATGAGGCAGGATAGTAAAAAGCCAGGAAAATTCCTTGGCAATGGAATAGGGAAACTGAGACAGACGGTTAAATGGCCAAGCAGTTTACAGCCATCTAGTAAGTCCTATCTTCCCTAAACCAAGGACACTTAAGAGTAAATGGTGCCCTGCTGGGGTGGCTCAGTGATTGAGAGTTGACCCATGAGCATTGACCTATGGAGGTCTTGGTTCGATTCCTGGTCAGGGCACATGCCCTTGTGGGCTCGATCCCTGGGGCGAGCAGGAGGTAGCAACCAATGATTCTCATCCTTGATGCTTCTGTCTCTCCCTCTCCCGTCCTCTCTGAGATCAATAAAAATTTTTTTTTTTAAAAAAGCGTAAATGGTTTACACTTCTCTTCCCCAACCAAAGGATAAATAGCGTAAATCACTCTACTCAGGGAGGTAGACAGCAGAAATCCAATTAGTGCCATTTGTGCCAACCACACCCAAGGACAGATAAAGTTAAGGAAATAAATCTTTTGGCGCATCAGCATAAACCTGATGAATATTGTGAATACACAACGCAATTTACAGATGATGTATTATAGAATTGTACACTTGAAACATAATCTTTTTAAAAATATATTTTTATTGATTTCAGAGCGAGGAAGGGAGAGGGAGAGAGATAGAAACATCAATGATGAGAGGGAATCATTGATCGGCTGCCTCCTGCACGCCCCCCATTGGGGACTGAGCCCACAACCCAGGCATGTGCCCTTGGCCGGAGTTGAACCCAGGACCCTGTAGTCCACAGGCCAATGCTCTATCCACTGAGCCAAACCAGCCAGGGCGAAACATAATCTTATTAACCAAAGCCACCCAATTAATTTAATACAATTTTTAAAGTAAAAAAAAATAATAGTAATTCTGTTGAGATCCTTCCCCAAGACCCTTCCTAAACTCCTAGCCTTTAGAAACCCTCAAAAAGAAGGTCCCAGTGTGTGTTCTCCTCCTGGGAGCTTTGCCTTCCCCTTTCCTTTCCTTCCCTTCTTCCCCATAGGCATGCCTCTCCTAAACTCTAAGGGACCGCACCAGACTTGAAACCAGAAGAGCAATGGGCAGTGATAGCTCCTCCCCGGGCTAATTCCCCAAACCTGTCCCCAGGGCCCTGAGACAGAGAGTTACATGGCCAAGCAGTTTACAACCACCTAGTAAATCCTATCTTCTCTGACTTCCCAGTGAGCTAAAGCAGCCGCACCTCCGCTCGTTTCTTTCCTGTAACATTTCTGGAGAACCAAAGCAGCCCCAACTAGGTCTCTCCTGTTGCTTTTTCTATGACAAGTCCTTCCTTGTTTCCCTGTCCCCAGCTTTAATAAACATACCCTCAAAGTCACCTGTATTCATGTTATGAAATCTTTCCTGCACCAAGGCAAGAACCCACACACTACCAACTGACCCTAGGCCCGTTCAGGGTCAGGTCCCCTTTCCAGTAACAATTACTCCCCTGCAACGTAGATATGACAAAATCACTACTAGAAAAAACCAGCAAAGTTGGTGTGCTTTTTTTATTTTTTTAAATATATTTTTTATTAATTTTAGAGAGGATGGGAGAAGGAGAGAGAGATAGGAACATCAATGATGAGAGAGAATCATTGATAGGCTGCTTCCTGCATGTCCTCTACTGGGGATTAAGCCTGCAACCTGGGCATGTGCCCTTGACCGGAATTGAACCTGGGACCCTTCAGTCCGCAGGCTG